CTCTGACCCTCCACATGGTCTGCTGCTCTGACCCTCCACATGGTCTGCTGCTCTGACCCTCCACATGGTCTGCTGCTCTGACCCTCCACATGGTCTGCTGCTCTGACCCTCCACATGGTCTGCTGCTCTGACCCTCCACATGGTCTCTGTCAGCTCTGGAGACACATTTACTGCTCAAACTGCCTCCAAATGTAGCCTGACCCTGACTTTTTTCCTCTATGTCTGCTTCACCTCTGTCTCTCCTGCTCAGAGTACTCAGGCAGTGATCTTTGACCAAGACACCTACAGATTTCTGCTGCCACCTGCTGGATTAATAAAATACTGTCTACAACCAAACCCCAGACTGTATGATACAGGTAACACAGACCGACAGGAAAAGACTGAAAAACAATGTTGACATCAATTGACGTATCAATGGCAGTCAATGAGTTAATGTTGCTCAAACTGTATATGAATGATGTCACACAACAGCGGCTACACAACTGTACACACGTTTATTCAGAAACAACTCAAACCACGTCATTTACATCATGAAGTAAGAATAAGACTGATAAACACCAATGATTGACAGGTCTGAATGAAACACACAACACTGAAGCCACATGACGCTCTACAAATATATATGTTGACATAGATGTGTGAGAAAGGACTCTTTCTAACACACACACACGCTTTCTTTCATAAAGTATGGCGTGATTTGTGTTGCTCTACATCAGTCCTCTGGCCCGTACTATCCTCTACACTGCTCCCTAGACTGCACAAGGAGAGCATCAGCCAGTCTAGGGAGCCACGTAATGCTTCTAGCACATGCACGCAGCCGACGCTTATGCGCTGTTAACGCCTACTGTGTAAATTAGCAGTGACTCTGGGTTCACATAATGAAGCCTCAGCTCTGTCTTCTTCACTTTGTTCCAGATGCTGCGTCTTCAGATTCCTAAAGATTCTTAGTGCTAAGAGTTGCCAAAACAAATAAGTTCAGTTGTCAAAGCCAGCTTCTTCCAGCTGAGAGTGTTGACCAAAGTTAAAGGCTATCTTCCACCAAATGACCTTGAGAAGGGTGTCCATGCCCTCATATCCACACGGCTGGACTATTGTAACTCTTTATACAATGGCCTTGACCAGTCCTCAGTTCACAGACTGCAGCTGGTACAGAACGCAGCAGCTCGGATCACGACTGGCACCAGACGACACGAGCACATCACTCCTGTGCTGTCGTCTCTACATTGGCTTCCTGTCGCTTTTAGAATTAAATTTAAAAATGTTATTATTAGTATTTAAATCTCTGCATGACCTGCCTCCGTCATATCTGACTGACTTGCTTACTTTGCACACCCCGGGAAGAGCACTGAGGTCCTCTGACCAGCTTCTTCTGCACTGAGGAGATCGAGCCTTTGCTGTGGCAGGGCCTAAACTCTGGAACGCTCTCCCTTATTCCATCAGAGCTGCCCCCTCTGTAGAGAGTTTTAAATCGCAGCTAAAGACACATTTCTTTGCTTTGGCTTTTTAACACAAGCAATGTTGAAACATTTATGATAGTGTCCTGCATTTTATTTTTATGCTGTATGTTATTTGTGTGTTGTATTTTTACAATGTCTGGTAAGCACTTTGTGACAGTCCTGTCTGTTTTTAAAATGTGCTATATAAATAAACTTGACCTTGACCTCATGGCTAAATTTTAAGAATATTAATAGAATTTCCCCTAAAGCTCCTTAAAGAAATCTCACTTTGGAGTTTCTACTCTTAGAGCGCTCCCAGAGTTCTTTAAGAGAACAAAATGGTGGACAGAAGAGGCAGGAGAGATATTCTACAAACACTGGATGACAGTGGGCCTCACGGTCATCCAGATGTACCTCTCAAAACACTTTCATGTTCATTGACAAATTGACCCTGAAGCAAACACTGTTCCTCTGTCCAGTTGGTTTCCTCTTTTATCCTCCATTACAGTTCACTTGTTTATGGTCTATTTGAAAGTCCACAAACACTGCTTCTTATTGGCTGCTTCTTATACCAAAGCGAATAAAAACCTTAAAAGTTAACAGAAAGAATGACCAACATAATGGCCCCGTCCCATTTCTCTCACTTGCACTCGTTTTAGACCCTACCACTCGGTTATGCGCGTTCACGTTTAAGGGTAGTGTGTCCCAATACTTTGAAGACCTAGGGAGAAGTGCACTTCAACCCTTGAAATGATCCCTTCAGACGGAGGGAGGTCCGGACCTGACTTGGGACGAAGTGGCTTCCCAGAATTCTTTGCAAACTCATACGGCGAAAAGAAAGATGGCGGCAGGCGGTGGCAAAGAATCGCACAAATGTAAGTATAGTTTTACAATTAAGCACACGTTTTCCAAAAAATATGTTGGGATATATTAGTTAGACGTAAATACAATTGAATTCTTTACCGCTGTGTTAAAACATGAATTTTGCAAAATCGCTAATTTTCACATTGCACAAATCTACCGAGACAGCTATTTTTATTTCTAGACACGTAAAGTAGGATGATTATGCATGACAGCTTTTAACAAAATTATCCCCATTTCTATCTTAAGGAGTCATGCGTTTATATCCGCGGTCACTAGCATAGCTGGGATGCATAATTGTCATCGTGCTTGTTTACTGCACACTGTTTCGTCCTGTAATATTCACAATAGATTGTGGACAAGCCTATCAATTGAGGTGGAGGGAAGGTAGCATTCCGTGCTGACTATTGTCAAAAGGCATGATTTTTCAGCTTGTTTCATGAGCAATATTGTTATATAGTTCACTCTCTCACTTCCTCCTCCGTCGAGCAAAGACGTGTCTTAGTCCGCTCCTGCTTCTGAACGGCTTGCTATCTCCTGTTTTTGTCTTTTTTCCTGGAGTTTTGCCACAGACAACTTTAACAGAATGGAAATGATTAACTGGTCCCTCAACGCAATTGATTCTATCTTTTCAACACGTAAGCGTGGGTCTGGAGAGCCCGTGTGCCCGGACGGGACTTCACCTGCGGGGTATACTCTTGACAGCTGGAACAAGTTTCAACCCCTCTGTCTGTCGACCCTGTCCATTGAAGATTCGGAAGACGTATATATCTTTGGCATTTTGGTGGTGGGAATCCTCCTGTTTGGGTTTGGAGCGATCCTCTTCTACCACAAATTCGGAGGCATGGCAGTTCGCAAGATTCACGACCTGCTGGCCGACAAAATTGATGGGATGTACAAGGAGCTTAGCCGCGTCGTGGTTGAGAGCGCTGTGGCTGGACAAAGGAGAGTGGTGTTGGTGGAGCAGTTGATCAAAGATCTCGCAGCTCGTTCACTTGATGGGCATAAAACTCTGGAATTGAGATTGAATGACATCGTTTGCCAGGCTTGAACTCTCTGACCCGGCTTGGATTTGCCCCTGTGTACGGAGGTCTGAGGGCGCCGTAATTCGGTTTAATTGGAATTAATAGAATATCTGCCTGCTTTTGACTGCTACATTGCATACAATATTGTCCCTCTCAGGCGATGTGTTTTCTCTCCTCCTGTGCCTTCTCTCCACTCTTATCTCACATTCCTCGACCAAGGCCATAAACAAGGTCCCACAATCTACAACAACTCACACTATTTCAGTCTCCAGCAAGGATCCCTCACCCCCGCCTCCCTCTACCTATCCATCTTGCTCCCTCCCTCCCCTCCATTCCTCATTGTTTTCCTACTCACCCCCTCCCTGATCCCGCCCCCCTCTGACAGCTACATTGGGCCGGCCGCCGGAGGTGCTCATCCCGAGAAAAAAATCCGTGGTTTATAAAAAGCACAATGTGTCTATCCAATTGTCTGTGAACTGTATGTTATTGCTCTCTGCTGTTTCTTGCTGCACACAGCGCCGCAAATGGCGAAGTGGCACGCTCTCTGCCAAGACAATTTCCAAGTGGTAACTTTGTTACTCACGTGGCAATAAAAATGATTCTGATTCTGATTCTGATTCTGATTCTGATATAGTGAAAAGTCCAATGTCTTATGTCATGTGTCAGCACATATGAAATAAGCTATAATTATCTTCTCATAAATAAGTGGAGACAGTATTCAAAAGCATATGTGTGATGCTGGCCAACAGAAAGCTCTTACAGCCATTAGAATAATATGTGAGGTTTGTGCATCCATTCACTATCAAATAATTCACAAGTAATTTAAATTTGCAAATTTTCTTTTTGGAAATTTCCTTCAAAAACTGTCTGTCTCCCAATTGGCCCCTGCCCTCCACCTGAAAAAGAATTCTAGCACATGAATGCAACCTATTGGCGAGCAACTTGTGTCTAATGTGGTCATGTGGGCTAATGTTTCAGGGACTGTGGAGCAGACCAAAGCCCTAATTAAGTTCAGGGCTGACAATGAAGAGCAGTTCACAAAAAAGAAGCACCACAAAGCAACTCTGGGAGTGAGTAGCCTAACCTGCTGTTTAACAGTCACATTCTGATAATGCATTAACCCACCCTTATGTTCATCCCTATAGGACAGCAGTCATTGAGATCGGCCTGACGGGTAAAATCAATGGCCAACGAGCAGCAAAAAAGTGGGAAAACTTGAAAATGAAGTACAAGGTAATGTTATCCCATGTCCCATGTTATCATCTTCATCATCTAGGCTAAATAACCCATCCCGTCAGATGTCACATAATTAATTAATAACTGTTTTATGTGACTGTGTTTGTGTGTTTGGGGTGGTTGTTATTGCAGAGGCTGAAATTGCCCAAGACAGGATCAGGCACAGCAGATGGGGAGCAAACGGCATCCAACTGGAAGTTCTACGAGGACATGCATGCAGTTCTGGGGGGCAGGCCATCTATTGACCCACCAGTATTGGTAGCTTCATTTACCCAACCTGGTCCGACAGAATTACTAATGGTAAGTTTACAGGAGGAGGAATTTAATTGACCAATAACTTTCTTAAAATACACTAGTATATCACAGAGCATAAAGGTCTATACAAAGTTGTTGTTGTGCTGTGACTTCAGCATGCATTAATTTATTTTTGTTATTCAAATCTCTAGGCCATTGTTGAACCTCCCATGGAGGAGCCGGATCCATCTTCCACTACTGCAGACACAGCCCCGCCAACACCGATGCCAGCCACACGGGCAGGCCCGTCTACTTCTTCCCCACCAGGTCCTAAAGCACCCACCACCCCATCTCCCAAAAAAGGGCTAGAAGAGTCAATAATGCTGTCCTTGAGTTCTTCAAACAAGAGTCTGTGAAGGAGCAAAAAAGGCACGAGGAAACTGAGTCCAAAACAGAGAGGTTCCTCAGTTTGTTCGAAAAGCTTGTGGAGAAAATGCCTGAGCAGTGAGAGCTGTGGTGGTTTTCCCTCGTTCATGTTCATGTGCAATACGTTTCTTTTAAGCTTATTTTGATGTTTTTTTTATTTAATTCAAATATTGTTCTATATTTGTGATATTTTTCTATACATTGTTTTAGTTATGTCAAATGTGAGTTCATCTTTCTGAATACAAATATTTATATAAATCAAAGTGCTTGGTGGTTGTTTTTTGACCGGGCATCATACACATTCATACAGTATGTCACGTCATTATAAAACAAACTACCGAGGTATTGTACAAAATAAGTTTAATCAAATGTAGAAACATGAACCACAGCAACAATATACAACACTTACAGTAACTATATACACCCACATAACACACAGGTCAGATATGTGCTTGAACATAACTATTTACAAGTTTTGCAAGGATTTTTTTCAGTGAGGGCCTTGTTTATCAAATCAGGCCAGCGAGTCTGTCCCTTGTGGCATTCCCTGGTGTTACATTTGGGTCAGGGAGTTCTTGTAACGGCAGTTCTGGGTCCATGTTGTCCCCGGCCACATCCTGATCAGGCTCCAAGATGTCTCCGTTATCCAAGCAAACATTATGCAGAAAGGCACAGGACGCTATTACTTGGGGTGCAAATGTAGGCTTGACTTCCAGGGCCTTGAAAAGTGTGGATCTCCACCGAGTTTTCATTATGCCAAAGGCTCTTTCAATAATTGAACGCCCCTTTGACTGGTGGTAGTTGAACCTCTGTTGCGCTCTGCCATTCACCGGTTCCCTGTAGGGATTAATGAGGCAGACTGGGGTTTCCAAACACGGGTATCCTCCATCACCCAGAATGAAGTACCCAGTTGGAGGATACCTTCTTGCAATGTAAAAAGAGCTGCTCTTTAAAATGCGTGTGTCATGAACAGACCCTGGATATCCCACAAAAATATCAAGGAACTTTCCCAAGGAGTCACAAATTGCCTGCATGTTTATTGAGTAGAACCCTTTGTAATTCAAATAGTCCAGTCTATGGAGTGATGGGGGCTTGATCCGAATGTGGCAACCATCAATGGCACCAACAGCTTTTTTGAGGATGGGTGTCCCAGAAAGTTGCTCAAATCCATGACCCACGGTGTCAAGATTTGCCGGGCTTGGAAATGATATTGCCCTGTTCAAATTGTCCCAAATAAACTGTGCAACCTTGTGGACTATTCTATGGATGGTGGACCTGGGAATATTAAAAACATGTGACACCACACGGTAGGACAGACCATGGGCAAGCCAGTAAACGTAGATTAGAACTTCTAGCTCATGGCCCCAGCCGTGGTCCTGTTCTCTCCTCAGCAGACACTGCAGGGCATGCATGGCCTTCCTACTCAGTCTGAAGTCCCGGATGAGTTCCAACTCCACGTCAAACCACAAGCGCAGGATGGGTACATTCCTGTCCATCCTACAGTAGGTTAGTGCACGGCCACTCTGGAACACAATAGGTAAAAAACAAGCATTTAGACATAAACATAGTAAATAAAAGACAGCTTTTACTGTTTTTTTATGCATCCTGACAATTATACATCACAGTTGTCTTTTTCTTTTTTAAATATGATCATAACTGCGAGTTGGCATTCCTTCAAAAAAACAAAAAAATGGGGTTTTGGGGATACAGGGAACGTTTTGTAAGCTTCAGGTGTGAGGTGGAATTTTCTCCTGTTTGTTTGTTTACTTTCTCATCGCGTAACCGGTTAATGACCCAAAGGCTGTACCCATTTGTGAAAAAATTAACATACATTATAAGTAAGTTGGCGTTTTATCGAAACCAATAACAGGTAGTACGCTAGCAGCATACGGATAGCGTCATAATAAATGAGTCCACGTACCGTAAACAGATTAATCAGGGCAAAATAGCGGCGAAGTCGTCTTCGGTTTTGCCCATTTCTTCTCTGTTTGTTGGCCACACGAAGAAAGGTCATCAACGCCCACGCAATGGGTAAAATAACTACTGGAGCCGGCATTTCCAAACCTGTACAAACCCTCGATGAAAATACGCCGCTGCTTGTGACTCGTGTTTATGCATGACACAGGAGAACACGTGACGTTACTGAGGTGTACAGGCAATGTGTATTACCGCCATCTACTGGACTGGGGTGAAATTTTGAAACTAGTGATGTCCCAATTCTTAGGGGAAATTCTTCACTTGCACTTCCCTCATTGAGGGGACTCTACTGTGGAGGGAACTCATAGCGAGTGTTCTCAGAGCAAGTTAGAGAAATGGGACTGGGCCTTAGATTGGGCTGAGAGATGTGACCTTTTGCGTCGTAATCCTGTCACCGCGGCTCTCATGTTTGAGTCTCGTTGGCGCTGTTTTTTACAAAAAGTGATCGGTAAAGTTAAAGATTACTTTTATCGTATAGAATTCCAGCAGCGCGGATCCCCGCACGCACACATGCTCATCTTTCTAGACGATGGACGATGGAGTAAACACTGACGAGGAGGTTGTCCAGTTTGTTGACAAATATATTTCGTGTGAACTCCCCTCAGATCCAGAGTTGTTAGAAAAAGTTACCTCAGTGCAGCAGCATTCTAAACGTCACGCCAAAACATGCCAAAAAGGCAAAATACAGTGTCGGTTCAACTTTCCTCGCCCAGTTTCGATGCGCACGTTCGTTAAACAAGAATTTGATCCAGAAACGCCTCCTATTGTGACTAAGGAGGAAGCGAAGTTAATCATGGCCGCGCTTAAGAATGCCACTCTTGATGAAAACAACCTGGGTCTTAGAACTGCAGAATTGTTTGACTGTTTGGGGTTAACACAGTTCACGTTTGAACAAATTTACAGCGTTTTAGGCGGGAACAGACGGATCGTTTTAAAGAGGGAGGTGAGCGACATCTGGATTAACAACTACAACAAGAAATTACTTAGCTGCTGGAATGCCAATATGGACATTCAGTTTGTTGAAAATGCGTGGGCTTGTGTAGTTTATATAATCTATATTACCAAGAAAGAGAGGGATATGGGTCTGCTCTTTGGTAATGCTCAAAAAGAAGCTTCCAAAGGAAATGTAAGTGCAAAAGAGGCTTTTAAAAAGTTAGGCAGCGTGTATCTGCACAATCGCGAAGTCTCTGCGCAGGAAGCTGTTTACCGCGTGACAGGGATGCACCTGAAGGAATTTTCGTGTCAAGTTACATTTATCCCAACCGGCAACAATATAGTGCGAATGAGCAGACCGATAGGTGAAATTGATGATGAAATGGGCGAGAGTATTTGGATGACTAATACGATCGAGCGCTACTTAAGTAGGCCAAATGACGACACATTTAACGACATGTGCATCGCGACATTCGTCTCCGAATATAGATTACTGTATAAATCTGACAAGTGCAAAAAACCGATAATGTTACAAAAGGGTCTAGGCGCCATCACAAAAAGGACGCGTACAAAGCCCGCTGTAGTGCGGTATGCGCGCTTTTCTGAGACTAAAGACAGAGTTGTTTCATCAGAGTCTGCTGCAGTTATTCCTGCCGTATCGTGTTGATGACGACCTTAAGCCGCTTCCACACGAATCGTTCGAACAGTTCTATAAAAATGGGGAAGTAAGCTTAAGCGACGGGGCGTTACATTTAGTAAAGTCAATTGTTGATTCAAATAGGCGTTGCTTTGAACTTACAGCTGAGAACTTGGAGGAAGTCCAAGATCAACTGGACGATGACATCTTGGAGGATGCATGGGGCTTGCTCTGCCCAGAGCAGGAGGCGGAGAGGCTGGAGACGAGGGAGGAGTACAGGGAGATGTTAGAGGCGATGGGCTCTGAGCATGAGCAAGACCCCATTCCAGACTTGGCTGTAAGGAATGAGCAAATCGGTAACATCGAGAAATCTAACGTTATGAGTCGTCAGGAGGGCCTTTTGCTCATCAAAACTTTAAATGAGCAACAACTGTCCATTTTCTACAAAGCACGACAATGGTGTTTAGATAAGCTAGCCGGTAACAACCCAGAGCCCATCCACCTGTTTGTTACAGGCGGAGCAGGGACCGGGAAAAGTCACCTGATTAGAGCGCTTCAGTACGAGTTATCTCGATTATTGGCTCCCATTTGTCACAGTCCGGATAATGTTTCTGTTTTATTAACAGCTCCGACTGGAATCGCAGCGTATAATTTAGAAGCGTCTACCATCCACACTACGTTTAGCATTGGGACCAATGTTTCTCTCCCTTACATGCCTCTGGGAGAAGAAAAGCTTAACACACTGCACGCTAAGTACATAGATGTACAATTTGTGATAATTGATGAGATATCTATGGTTGACCAGAAGTTGTTTACCTACATTCATGGTCGGTTGCGACAAATCAAACAGACAGGTGACTCTCCATTTGGGAACGTTTCAATTATAGTCGTTGGGGACTTCTTTCAATTGTCCCCAGTCAAAGGTCACGCGCTGTACAAGGAGAGCATAGGTGTTAATTTCTTCACCGACCTATTCAAAATCGCAGAGTTAAAAACAATAGTCCGACAAAAGGAACCTGCTTTTGCCAAACTATTGAACAGGCTTAGAATGCGCTCCAGGCTGACACCACTGCTCGAGAGTGACATAAATGTGTTAAAACGGTGCGAAACAGGCGAAGACCCCGACGTCTTGCACATTTTCACCAAGAACAAATTTGTTAATGAGTACAACATTAAAACTCTCACTAGGGTGTGTCAGGATACAATTTGCATTGCGGCTCGAGACTTTGGGTATGATAAAAAGACGGGGAAATTGACTGAATTGGAAAGTAATCTCCATAACTCCAAACTAGCCGATTTGGAGGAGACGTTAATCGTGGGAGTAAATGTGCGTGTAATGCTCTGTAAAAACATTGATATAGCAGACGGTCTAGTAAATGGGGTATGCGGTATAGTGACATATATTGTAGAGAATCCACAGAGACGACTGCCTCCTTTAGCAATTTATGTTAAATTTGACAACGACAAAGTAGGCGCGCAGAGGAGGAGGCAGACGCGTACCCCTGCAGACCTGACAGGTTCTACCCGCATAGAGCCAGAAGAAGAGCAAGCCAACAAACGAGGCGAGAAGCGGCGACAGTTCCCCCTTAAACTTGCGTGGGCCTGTACAGTTCATAAGGTACAAGGCATAACAGTCGATCGAGCAGTGGTGTCCCTGAAACAAGTGTTTACTGCGGGCCAGGCCGTTAGGAGCTTAGAGGGTCTTGTCATTCAAGACTTTACTGAAAAGGCCATTTATTGTAACAATAACATTCGATATGCAATTGAGTGCATGCCTCCCTTCATGGTCCAAAGTGTGCCCTGGCCCATAGAGGAGACACATGTCCTGACGTTCTTTTACATGAACGTTCATGGGTTAGCTTCACATGTGTCAGACTTGGTCACGTGCACACAGCCCTGGCAGCCTAACTGCATTGCTGTGGTAGAGACATGGTTAAATGTAAATTCAGCCTTTCAAACCAGTCACATTGATGGTTACAGCTTCAACAGTCGTCCTCGTAGTGTATCGTACCAGGGCAGTAACCACCCTGCATTAGTTAGTTTGGCCTGTACTGTAAAGACAGCTGTAACTATGAGATCACAGAACGTGATTTCAGTTTAGAATGTCTGGTTAGTCATTTTGCAGAGCTCAAAATTACTGTTGCAGTTGTCTATCGACCACCGTCATACCCCATGTCTCTGTTCAAGTATAACTTGAATCGGTTGCTAATCTGGCTCGACTCGTTCAGTGCCACTGTGGCAGTGATGGGAGATTTTAATGATGACATATTGAAGTCATCAAGTCTCTGCAATTTCATGACGGAAAGAGGTTATGTTCAATATGTCAAATCTCCCACTACAGAGAGAGGGACTTTAATTGATCACTTGTACCTGAAATCCACTGAATATGATCTAGAGTCCACTGTGGTGCCAACATACTTCAGCGACCATGAAGGGATAGTGTGTTCGTTTAGAATAAAGCCGTAGGAACAGTGTGTTTACATTAAAGCAGTGTAGTTAGATTTGTATCGATATTTAATCATAACATCGCTCTGAATTTGATTTTTATTAATAATCATGTCATTTTTTTTACCATAAGCCTACTTGCTCAACTTTCCACGTGGTTGTTGGGTCTTTTATAGTACTTTTATAGCACTTTTTATACTGGTTGTTGTTGCTAGGCCTGGATTTGCCTGATTTTAATGTTAAATTATAATTGTAATCATGTGTCTTTGATCTTTTGGAATATCCAATTCACTTTTTTACTTGTTGCTAGGCCTGGATTTGCCTGATTTTAAAGTTAATTTATATTTGTAATCATGGAATTTTCTTTAGCCTTTATTATACTTGAGCAACTTTTTATTACATGTGCTTGTTGAGGCTGGACCTCTGATTTTATGTGTTGTGTTTGTCAAATTTAAAAGGACTGGTAAGACTGTCTCCTGACTATGTTCTCTCCCTCTGACGACCCCCACCCTTTTCCTCAGACTACTGTATATTTTGACTTCATTTCATTTTACTGCCTTTTTCTCTTTGTTTAGTTCTAGTTTAGGTTTAGTTTAGTCCAACATATGGGTATAGTTTGTTACTACATTAGCTTTAGTTTAAATTACATTTTAGGTTTTGCTTTGTTCATGTATAGTTTAGTTCTAGTGTAGGATTAGTTTATTCCTTAGTGCTTTTTTGTAGTAACAGGGTTAGTTTAGATATAGTGTTTTAATAGTTTAGATGGTATTGTAATTATGGTATAGTAATTCAGGTAAGTAGAACAAGTTTGGCTTAGTTGTAGTTTTGGTTTAGTGGGTGGTTTAGTCCCATTCTTGATCTGCCACCTTGTCGTTGGTGAATGGGCTTACGCTTTCAGAATCCCTGAGCTAAACCAGTGAGTGTCTGAACCTGTGGTTGGTTCGTCCATACTGGACAAGTCAAGGGAGAGAAGGCAAACAAAGAGCAGATCACCATCTCTAATAGAATTACATATTACAGTTGAATAATATTTACTAACCATCTCTTTTGTTTTGTTTCTTCCCCAGGGCACCAGGATTTGTGTTTTCCAGTATTGGGCAAAAGCTTCTAAAATGTTTATTATTTTACTCAAAAAGAATAAAATGTCCATGCACATTTTAAACTTGATGGTGATTCCAAAAGCTGTTGATAAACTGACTTCTAAATACTCAATAAATCCTTCTGACTTAACATTTCAGATTTCTTGTCATTATATTTGTAATGCATTAATAAGTTTTATAATTATAATAATTGATGCTTTATTTTTCTCACCTGTTCCAGCAGATAACGTTGGTGACACTTCATGCATTTTTGGGCAATCTTGAATTACAAATATGTCTCATAACACAATCATGTTAGAACCAGAAACACTGTGTTGAATGTATTTGTATGTCACAATGAAAGGGTGGTTATCTAAGTCATATGGTGTCCAGCAGTCAAAGGAATCGTTTTACTTTCTAAGCATCAAGTACAAAATCTGGTCAATATTCATAATAAACATAGGTGAGGAGAGAAGAGGAATCCTCTCTGAGATGTGGCCTTGGTCCTGTGGGTGTATTGAGTGGTCCCACACTGGTGTCTGTCCTTACCACTCTCAAGACACAATTTAAAGATAGCAATGATTATCCATCCATCCATCCATTTTCTACTCTTTAATCCATTTCTGGGTCAGGGGGGTGGCAATCAGAGATGCCACCCAAGTCTCATAGCACCAGCCCCTCACTGACCCTCTGCAGGTGGTGAGTCCACAGGAGGACGGCTGCTCTCTGGGTGTGAGCATAGCCTTGATCTTTCAGTGGGGGCTTTGGGCAAAGTGGGGTTAAGTGTCTTGCCCAAGGACACAACGACAGCAGTCATCGGCAATGATTATGTTACTTCAAAAAGAATTCCCCTTAAAACACACTCCACACCAGGTAGTACAGGCTTTGATTACTGCCACATTTCTTTTGATTGATTCATCAAGAGGAGACATTCAATATGAACTGTTAAAATGGCCTATGCAGGGTATAATGTGTAAAGGATCCAAAAAGTATCAACACTGAAATTAAAGTAAAACAGCTCAGAGGGACAAGCAATGGTTAGACGGGCAAATTAACATGTGTGGCTCTCTGTATAGGATTTTTCTATAACAGCACTGTAAAGTACTCCATGGGTTTATGGTTTTATTTGATTAGATACAAATTGAGCAAACATTAAATGTTACAATGTTATGGACTGCATGTGAAGAGTCATTTTTATTATATCCAGTGTGATCTTAATGGTTGTTGCAGTTTGTGAGTTAAATGTTTATGTTTTAATGCGTATTGGGAGATTGAAAACATATCTAGGTTTATAATGTACTACAAATATTACATAACTGTGATCACTTATTATATTTTAAAGGATCCAAGTGTTATTTTCTACACACTACAACACAGCACAAGCACAATGGGATGTTGCTTCAAAGCAGGAAGTGCCATTCATTTGAAATGGATAACAGAGAAGGAATTTTTTTTAAAAAGGGGGGAACCATCAGAGATGTGGCCATGGTCCTAAGTGTTTCCTGCCCCTACCTTACTGGTGTCCATTATTTTAAATAATTTTTAGTTATAACAGTACTTTACTTTAACAGCATACTTTAACAGCATGTGGAATATGTGGGTCATATGAAACATTCTGCAGGTATCTGAGATTCACACTGACCAAACGAAAAGATAAAGACGACAAATGAGAAAGAATGAAAAAGCTTAGTCCATTGGAAGTGCCAACATGCTCTATTGCTACGACAACCGAATATAAACTGTTACAAAATTATTATCTAAAGCAGTAACTATGAAACCACAACAACAGGCACCAGCCCTCTCTCGGCAAATCAGCTGTCAGTATGCAAAAGATAAAATGTCTGTTGGGAAAGACAAAAATAGGAATAAAAAGTGAGGTTCTACTTTGCCCCTTATAATGTGATATAATCAAAATAGTGTGTCACACTACTTTAAAATGCAATTAGAATAAAGTTACGAAGATTTGTGTCTGGCTTTAAAACAACTGAAACTGCAGTAAGAAATCAACATAAAAAAATAATCAACTTTACAACTTTTTCTGATGTAATCCTTTTAAATCCCAGGGCAATGTGATGTGTAACATGTGCTCGGTGAATGTAAAAACCTCCCTACTCCAATCGTTTCGTGCCCCTTTATACATGGTCCAACAGTGGCAGAGCTACAAGCAGCCAGTTTGCAGAAGTGAACAGTTTCCTATAATGACACTACGAGGATGCTGCTGAAGTTCCCAGACACAGTAGTCCAGTTAGTTTACTGAGTGCAGGGTGCGCTCTTTGGGAGTCTGTCACGCGCAGACCGTTTGACTAATTCAAATTCTATATTCAACTATTGATGGGCCATGTGTTGAGACGATGTGGAGCGATCTTCAGCCAAATTAATGAAACGGCCGCGGCTGGTTTGATGTTTGAGTGAGGTGTACTTTTCAGAGATTTAACAATTTTCTCATAGACACAGACAGGGGAGTGTTGGTCGTCGCCACAGCAACAGGGTAAAAAATAATCATATGTTGTCATTGACTTTTTGAATCCAGATGACAAAACAGAATTATGTGCAAAATTTCAAACATTTTGAAAAAACTAAATTTTATTAGGCCCATGTAAAACTTTGACATAGTCTGTAGGGGGCGCTAATGAGCCAATTTCAATATTTCCACTTTCAAATGACCTAGACCCTGGAGCTGAACAATGGATTACAATTTTGTGCAAATCTGACTTTTTTTGTGCAAATGGGAGCAAATTTACTTTTGTCAAAAATTGGGAAAAAAATGTCACATTTTGCCGCTCCGCTGCTTGGACTTGAACTGATCAAAATTCTATATTCAATAATTTATGGGACATGTGTTTAGACCATGTGGAGCGATTTTGAGACAAATTGATGAAACGGCCGAGGAGGAGATAATTTCCAGCCGACATGTGTGAAAAATATCAATTTTCATTTTTCCATTTTCCGTTGAAATTAATGAGCTCCCTGTTTGTCAGGGGGCGGAGCCATAATAACTTTTTTTTTGTGCCGAGTTTCGTGGCTCTACGACAAACTTGACCTCCGACCCGCTCCCATAGGCGCAATGTAAACTGACTTTTGTAGGGGGCGCTGT